AAGGGGGGGGGGGGGCGGGGGATCTGAAAGAAAGGCCGATGGGCTTAGGGGCTATAGTTCAGTGATAGAGAGCACTTGTCCAGCATGTGTGAGTCCTTGGATTCCAGCCCCAGTACCAAAATAAGAGAAGGGAGGGGAGGAGAAGGGGAGGAGAAAGGAAAGAAAGGTCAGGGGAAGCAGCTGTTGAATTCTGTTGAATTCTGGCTGTCCAGAAAGTTTGCCAGGTGACTCCTGAGGAAGGCTGTCCTCCTGATGCAGCAAAGCTCGGCTCCCTGATCCTTGTCACTACACCCAGGTGCTCCATGGATGCATGGGAAGGAATATAATTAGAAAGGAAGTATGACTGTAGATGAGTAGTGGGAGTAGAAACGAACACCCCGGAGTTCAACTACTCCTTGGTTTGATCCTGTACTTTCAGAGGTGCATTTTGAATCTGCCCATCCAAAGGGAGCCATCCAGGGTAGGAGAATGTGTGGGGTGTTGCCCTCATTCCACTCTTTACTGTCAGTATGTGGAAAAATAAGAAGAGACCCCTCATCATGTGGCTGTGAGACTAAGGTTCTCTGGAGTAAAGAGGGGCGGACTTTGGTTTGCATTAAAGGACTCCACGTCAACCCCCGTGCTGCGGGCCTGGTGGGCAGAGACGGCCCTTACGACAAGCAGCCCTTCATGGTGGCCTTCTTCAAGGTGAGCGAGGTCCATGTGCGCACCACCAGGTCAGCCTCCAGTCGGCGCCGACAGCAGAGTCGCAATCGGTCCACCCAGTCACAGGACGTGTCCCGGAGCTCCAGCAGTTCAGGTACATGTGACAGGAGCCTGGGCCTCCATGAGGACAAAGGTGCCACTGGCCTCTGATGCTGGACAGTTTCTGCTCAGCAAATATAGTGGCCAGTACGGGGTCCTATGAATGACAATGAATTGTCATGGTCACGGGTCATCTGTGTGGATTCTTAGAGTCCCCAGTTCAGAACACCATTACTCAAAGGCTAGGGCCACAGGCACCCCACCACCTCTTGATCCAAATAAGCATCTTTCAGTTCGACCAGATTTCTACAACTCTTTTTTTCATTCTCATCAAAATCATAGAAACATCTTAATTTTTATTTCTGGTTAGATTATGCCTGGGGAAGGATTGAGATATACAGGTTGAATATCTCTTATTGGAAATGCTTGGAGGCAGAATGTTTCTGATTTTATTCCTCAGTTTTTGGGATATTTTCAAATACATAATGAGATTTCTTGGGGATGAGACCCAAGA